GACCGGAAATTCAGTACGGAGTTCGGGTTTGCTCGTAGGGCCGGTTTAAGCCTTCAGGGGGCTTCCGGAGGCTTCCCTGAAGGCTCTGGAGGACAAACCGGAAGTCACAAAAAACCGACCCTATGGGGGGGTTGCGCCTGTCATGCGCGCACGCGTGCTGGGGGGGGGGTCACACATTGCATTATGGGTGTGGCACGCCTGCACACAACCCCCCTGCACTCCCCCCGCTTATGGCACGCGAGCCAAAAAAGGCCCGCCATCGCTGCCCATAACTATTAAAATATTGATAACTTTTTTTCTTTAGTAATTTGAAGCACCAACTTTTTCCATATCAGAGCCATTGTGGAATGAAATTCTTCCCTAGCTTAGGATTGAAGTAAAGGATGAAATGTATTTTAAGTTAAGCTTGATTCCTGGTGACCATCAATCCATGTAATTTTTCTGATGCGATAAAACACCCTTCTTCAGTTGTGCACCACAGTGCTGTGATAGGTGGGTGTATCTCAACAAGGACTGAATAAGTGAGGATGGAAATGCCAGTTTCCCAGTTCACACCCACAAGTTGTCTGCAAGCTTTCGAATGAAGGCGCAGTGATTAGAATAAAAGAAGCAGGAGGCATCTACGTAGGTCATCAAATCCAGTGCAGGAGTCCAAATTAAACTACTCCCAACCACATCATATTGTGGATTATGGATAGCGCTGGTAGCATAAAAGTTCAATTTACCTCTGAATTGGTGATAGCTTGCCTCCAAGTACCAATTTCAGGGAGCAATTTTACCTCCTCAAGTTATATTTAAGAACCGGTTTGGGTATCAATATTCTTAATATAAACATGAACATAATGCTTTTGGTCCATATATTTCCTACTATCAAGATTGTAAAGACATTTGCTCTATCAGAAACAAAGTTGTACAACTATTGGTAAAATGTATTCAATGGCCAAATGCAAAGTGCTTTTATTTGCATTTTATCTTACTTTTTCTGCTTTGTTTATATTTCCAAAATGTAACTGACATTTGTTCTGAGGCATGACAAGCTAAGAATTACTCCATGTAGTCCAAAGCCTCTTGAAGTGACATCAACAATTCTATTTGTTACAAAAATGGGTATATTGCATCATTTTTATTGCGCTATATATAAATATACACTATATTGCCAAAAGTATTTGCTCACCCATCCACATAATCAGATTCAGTTGTGAGCAAATACTTTTGGCAATACAGTGTATATTGTACTATATATAAATATATATTGCTCTAGCCAAATTGGTTAGTGGTGAAGCATCAGGCTAGAAAGCAGAGGTTGTGCTGACAGTTATATACAAATTATAAACATGTTGCTAAAATGTATAAACTTTTGTTGAAATTTGAGACAGAAGAAGAAATGTATAATAAAATGGGCTAAAAATGCTGGTTACAATATACAAATGGATCGATGGGAAAATGGAGACAAACACACAGGCTAATTCAGAAGATTTTAAAGGCTAAAGGTTGAACCCAGAGGCTTTTATTTTGGAATTAATGGATACACAGCTAGAAAAAAAGACAGAATGACAATTGCAGCCAGATTATTATATGCTCAAAAATGGATTGTTTCAACACTACCCATTATGGAAGGAATGCTTGGTGAAGATGATTGGACTTTCAGAGATGGCTGAATTGACTTTCTTGATCAGAGAAAAGACCACATCTGCGTTTATGGCTTATCGCACACCCCTGATGGAGGTTTTGCGTGATACAGAAAAATGCACTTACCATTTGTGGTTTTGATGATTAGAAAAAAATAGATAATAGAAAAAAGTTAGCTTTTCTTTTTACAACTAGAGATAACTGTGTAACTGTGTTTGTATTTGCTGCAAAGAGAATCAGAAGCTGCCTCTTTCTGATCCTTTTTGTTTTTTCCCCTACAATTTGTCTTTTCTTTCTTTTTTCTTCTTTTCTTCTATATTAGTTTTTGTTAGTTTGTATCTTCTCTTTAAAACTTAAAAAATATATATTCTAGGGATTTGGGGATTTCAAGTTATATTCTGAAACACAGTCTGAAATTAGGAGGATGGGTTAATACTTCTTGCTTTCCTCTTTCTCCTTCTATATTTTAACTATAGGTATTATAGAAGACTTGGAATGATGTCTGGCATGAATGTGCAAGGCCAAAATTTTAGTCTCAAGGGAAAGGAAAGGAACCGGATGCCCTTTTGCCTTCAGGCAAACCACTGGTTGGACCGGCTAATCTAACTCAAACTATGGAGGTGGGAGACAAGCATCGCTTTGGCTTGCATGAGGGATTTCTCAGTGGGAACCGCCACGTGAGGATCCACTCCAACGCCCTCCCAAGAGTCCTCAGAAGAAATGGTGGATCTAGAAGTTGGGATGGTGACATAGAGGCCAGTCCCGTCCACTTGGAATGTCTGAGCGGGGAGGCAACCCCCGCTGGTCCTTTGTCCGATGATCAAGGCTCTGCCCAGCCTCTTCATGATAGACACAAATTGTTCGGCAGTCCCGGCAGTTGCAGAGCTGGTGAGAATCACCACGCTCTTTCCGGAGCCGTATCTTTGACCTTGAAGAGACAGGAGAAGATGCAGAAAATCACCCGCAATCTCACTGGACAGTAAATTTCATCAGAACTCATATTAAAATTAATGTCCCTCTAAGAATTCATAGAACGAGAATAAATAATGTAATCAATGCTATGCATACACCGTACGAGGCAGTGTCCCTCAACCTTAGCAAGTGTATGACATGCGGACTTCAACTCCCACAATTCCCTAGCTAGTTGATATATACCATAGTCTTCAACTTATCACCATTCATTTGGTGAGTGCTCGGAGTTACAATGTCATTGAAAAAAGTGGCAATCGTCCTTCTCCGATACCATCGTCACGGCATCCCCCCCATGCTTGTGTAATCGACGTTTGGGCACTTGGCAACCGGCATGCATTTATGATAGTGGTAGCATTTTGGGGCAGTGTGATCACCACTTGCTACCTTTCTGGCTGTATTCTGACTAGCAAAGTCAATGGGTGAAGTTGGATTCGTTAAATGACCCCATGATTCACTTGGCTGCAATGCATCGTGAACCCTGCCCCTGTGTGCTGGACTGTCTATGAGGCCTCTCTCCATAGTCTGCAGCCTAGGTCCTGTCCCACATGGTGAGCCCTGCTTCTAGGGGCCTGGTGCTTAGGAATGACCAACCTGCCTTTGGCTCTCCGTGCCTATTTTGCTCTGGGGTTATTCCAGTCCATCACCCATGTTTGCCATAGGTTAATATTTGATAGATTAATGTGCTATCTTTAGCCACAATGTGCGGTAAGTAAAGAGAAATACTGGCATTCACAACTTCAGACGTTGTTACCTAAAAGTTGGGAAGAAGTCCAAAGGTCATTGGTAGTATTATTTGGTCTGTAGTAGACTTTGTCCAGTAGAATCGGATGTCCTTCGTCAAAGAAGTAGGAGCACAGAGTGGCTACAGAGGAGACGGGCCCTCCAGTGTTGTACCTGGTGAGGTATGGGAGACGTTTTGAGAAGTAGGCACTGACAAGGAAACCTGACCTTAGCCCCCCGCCCCCCCCACACATTACCACAACTTCTTGTCTCTGATCCCCCCAAAGAAGTTTGAAAATGATCCACAATTAAATCTTGAAATGCTCAGAACAAAAATGTCTTGACTGCCTTAAGTGACAGTCATAAAAAATCCCACAGACAGAAAATTATAACTCTTTGATTCCATATAACAGTCATATGACATTTTCTAGCCTGGATCTCATAATCCAACTGCAGTTACAAGAGAAATTAGCTGTTTGTTTCACACTTCCCCATTCCTATGTTCTTATGTCTTGTCTGGGTTTTTTTTAAAAAAAAATTGTCTGCTTTATATGTAAAAAAGTCATCAAGTCACAATTAACCTAGAAAGATTTGAAATCCTGCAGGCCAAAGCAAGACTTTGTGGTCTACCTAGAATGAAAAGTAATTAGTTTTATTATTCCAATATTCCTTTGGGAGAAATAAATTGTCAGATTTCAGCTGATGTCGTGGGAGCCCAAAAGGGGCCCTTCTGGTTCTGAATGGCTGCAGAATCCTTATAAGAAAACACCAGGACCTTCCGCAGTCTAGTAAAAGCAACTGAATAAGACATGCTAAGACTGCAGAGCCTTTAATCTGCCCAGGAAAAGGGCCTAGGAGGAGATGTGGCCCCTGCCTTTCATCCTATGCTTTACATTGATACTAGCTGATCACCTGCCGTTGCCCGGGGATTTATAGAC